AATAAAATTATTTGCCAATGCATCCTCCAGCTTGTGATGCTCCTGTGAGTTCACTAACCAGCAGTTATTTGGTCACTAGTTAAAGCCTCCATTATAACCACACATTCCTAAAATAATTGCGTAACTCAATTTAAACTATAAACTTGGTGATTATTTTAGGACGATGACAATAGTTGTCTCCAACCTGCTGCTACATGTTTGTTTTTCATGGAGCTACTGAGAGAAGCTAGCGTGTCAAGATAGTCATAGTTAGCATCTTGTGTGAGTTTGATTCATGCAGTTTTTCACTTGAGAAGTATTCTACCTGTTTTATCACCTGTTTCCACTACAACACACTTGATTTGATTTTTCTCACAGTCATATTCAAAGAAATCCCAAAGAGGACTCTTTCTCGCCTTCTCCCAACTTTTGTTGTCGTCATTTTTAGCAGATGATGCTGAGCAGCAGCAGAATTTAAACAAGTGTTGTTACAGACCACAGCTAATGTGAAACTACTCAATTTGAAAACATAAAAAAAACTCCACATGTCTCAAAATAAATTGACAAACACTAAAACTAAGGATATTCTATCTATAATTTCAGTAAGTTTTAGTTTGTTTTGTAAAAAGATTATTCAGTTTTAGTTAGTTATCGTTTTTTCATTTTATCAGTTTTTATTTATTTCAGTTCAGAAAGGTTTTTTCAGTCTTTTTTGTCTAGTTTAAGTAAATGTTTTAACAAATAATGTCTAACGTTACAGCCGTGTGTTCCGTCCACCTCACCTTGACGAAGGTGATCTTGCACTGACACGYGTCACTGTTGGTGTTTTTGATGGAGATCTCGCCATAGTGCTCGATCCAGCGTTGTCCGCTGAGAATGTTGTGGATGCACGACGTCACCTTGTTCCACTCGTAGTGGTCTCCGAATCTGGGCAGAGGAATCAGAACCAGATTCTTTTCTGTTTTTTGTACGGTCATAGAKTGTTCACTGACAGATATGGCGCCTAGTTTGTCCTTGTTCTTTTTCTTCTTTTAGCTTCTTCCTTGATCGTCGCAGCAAGTCGTTCSTTCAACCCTCCACACATTTTCCTTCATCATATTCAATCCTCCTCCTCCTCTCTGGCTGCTCTGTATTCAATATTCTTTGTCCAACATCTCCTCTACCATCCCTCCTCTGCACATGTCCAAACCATCTCAGACTTTGTCTTCAAACTGCTTTACCAGCTCTTCCTCTAATATACCCATTTCTAATTACCGTATTTATTCGTGTATAATACGATCTCATGTATAATACGACCCCCACTTTTTGTGAGCTTAAAAAGGATAAAAAATTTAATCTTCAAACTACCTCCAATTTTAAACAGAAGATTTTTCAGCCTTTGCAGTCTTTATACATACAGTATCAGTAAAATGATCATTGGACTGTTCATTTTATTTTAACAACATATGTACTAAAAGGTATTTTGACAACAAATATATAYCAGCTGTAGCAGCATCATATGAATTCTGGCATTYTACACATAGTCCACCAGGAGGCGCCAACACAAAAGTCAGAGACTTCACATGAGATTTGGGCCATCTTGTGGAGGAAAAGCAGATTACTTCCTACTCATGAGCGCCCCCTCTGGTGGGGAAACGTTTTTTTTCAGGGATACAAACTTTTTCAGAACACCGGTAGACGGCAGCCATTACAGACGAACGTGTTTGTTGTTGTTCGAGGAGCGGCTCGGCCACACACTAATGTCATTAGTTCGTTATCATTATTAAGGTGCAGGAATACTTTTTTTCCTTTTTTTTTCACATCATATCACCTGCCTGGATCTGTTATTATCTCGCTCTGAAACACTGAGGAGTGTCAGAGGTAAGCTCGTTTCAACTGCTTTTTACGTCGTGGTCTCATTTCCAGACTCAGGCATTTTGTGAATGAAGCCGATATYTCAGTTAAAATACATAAGTAAAAATATTTATCTGAATATAGTACTACCCCCCAACTTTACGGATGATTTTATGGATTTAATTTTATGTATTATACTTGAATAAATAGGGTATGTCCATTTCTTTATAAAGTCTTTGCATCTTCATCTCTTCATCAAGCTCCTCCTCCAGTCTATTAATGCCATCTTCAAATCACACATCACTGCAGGTCTCACGGTCATCTTATAAACATTCTCATTTCACTCATGTAGCTCTCCCTCCRTCACAAATCACCAGAGGTGGGCACAGCTAACCAAAAACTTAGCTTCCCTAAATCATAATCTGCTAACTAAAAATGTAACTTTGCTAACTCTAAACCAGTAAACATGTCAACCTGCCACCCCCACCTCGTACCCATCTGTCACTCGTACTGCACACTTCACCAGTCTCTGGTCCTTACACATATCAGGGTTTATGTGTTTGAATACATGCTTAATATTATATATTTACTTATGTAAAGCGTRAGTCAAAAGTCTCAGGACAACCTTTTATTTCAGAAAGAAAAAAAGAAACGAAAATATCTGAATACCCCAGCGAGCAGTGGGTGAAGGGACCTATATTTTAGGCTAAGTCCAGTACATGGTCGCCATGATGGATCAATAACATCTGACTCGCCTTCTAATCAGATCAACGTGTACAGACGATTGTTGATGGAAATGTTTTGAAAGCTATACTTCTGGCTAATTCAGTCAAGTTTAGCCTTGAATTCAAATATGATATATAATAAAATATAATTTTTGTTTTAAATGAAAGACGTGGAACTGTTCTGGGTAAAAAAAATCAGAACAAAATCAAGGTCAAAAYCAGCGTGAGACACACTGCAGAAGGACAAACGACGAGGCTGAAGAAACTGACCTTGGCAGAGTTACGTGAGTGGTACCCACAGGAACGATCTCCATTGACTTTCCCCAGAATTTGTTCTTACACCTCACGTCTGCAAAGAATATACAAGTTTATATCCCTTCAATTAAAAAAACGTTTTAAATTAAACGTACCAATGGATAAAAATCATCATATTTTATCACCTTGCCAGAAGACAAAGTTTTTAGACTCCGCATGGCAAGCTGAAACAGGCGGGTGATGGCTGACCTGACATTAGAGAGGAACACAGTTTAATTCAAAGAATGGTTCGACTTTTAAAGGTGCATTACACAAAATAGAATCTGACTTACCTGCTCGGCAACAAAGCGAAAGCCTTTGTCCGGCCGATCACATTCATACGTCTCTCCTAACACGGGATTGAAAGGTTTTCCTCCAGTTCTGTAGTAGCTGGACGTGTAGCCGGAAACGACAAACGTGGCAATGTACATCTGGAGAAACAGAAGGGCAGCTTATCTTTATTTTGTTTTATTGTAAATATAAATCAGCATTAAACTATATCTGCTGTTTGTGTCTAAAGGAATTAGTTAAACTCTCCTCCTGAGTCATTTTAGGTTGATATATTCTCTTTATTATCATAAGCAGGGTGATTGAATAAATACTGAGACTGAAGACTGGTGGGACTGACACAAACCTAGTGACGTTAGCTGTTAGCAGACAAAGTTGAAAAAAAAAAACTAATTTAGCAGAAGCTAACTGGTTTAAACATTAGTGAAAAAACTAACTCTCAAAATTAGCTGTTAGCTGATCAGCGGAATCATGCCCGCTCTTTAAAACWGTGAGAAGCAAACGGTGAATTTTCCATCTCACCATGCGTTCGAACGGGTCGAGCGTGTCGGCAGCCGTGTCCAGGAGCTCRCTGTACTCCAGCTCCTCACAGAGTCTCTGCAGGGTGTTGAGCGGCTCGTTCAGGTGCACTGGCATGGCCACCTTGGACAGGTCTTTGCCTATATTGTTCCTGAGGATGTTCCACAGGCTGACGGTGTTGCTGTTCGGACAGGGCGAGGGCAGGCAGGATCTACGTTGGTGCGGGACTGAGCCATTTTCTACAGAACCTGATTTAGACATGASATTCATAAGAGATAAAATAATGCATATTTAGTTTGAGGAAATGCAAAGAAAAGAGGATTTAAATCATCAAAACAAACAAAAATAAACTGTCAAAGCATCAATATCATTCTGATTAAGCATACCTAAATTTGGTCTTTCAGCTTCTGTCTCCAGCCTAAAATTGTCAAAAGAAATGTTGTCACTTATATCACTGATGTATGAGTCATCGTCCGATACCTAGAGAAGAAAAAAACATTCATTCTGTATTTTGCAGATAATAAATACATTTTTCATAGCACTTGCATTAAAAGAACTGAGCAGGTCATTTTTTCAACACTTGTATCAGTTGTGGTTTTTAATAAATAAAGATAAAGAATCTTTTAACGCCTGGTGACAAAGTTGCACCCTGGGCTGCTGTATTTTTAGATTAAAGTAAATAATTCTATTTTCACATTACTTCCACTCGAGCTGCCTTTTTATCTGATGTGCAGTTTTAATAATAGAAGAAGAAAAGAAATAAAAATAGACACAATATTTAAAAAAAAAAAGATTTGGGACTTTATAATGTGAAGACTTTTCTTCCTGCAGCAGACTGTCTCAGAACCTGATTCAAATGTAAAATAGGTTTCAGATGATGCACTGGGACAACTGCAGATGCTTTGTCTCCATGTTTACCTCATTTTCAGAAGAGCTCGCGGACAACAGAACCTCCTGGGCGTCGAAGAACTCAGATAAAGACTCCGCGATTGAAGCTCTGCTCTCGTTGGACACTTGGTGCACGAGGGGATGGGACTCGTCWACAGAGTCCTGTTTCTGTTAGGACACGATGTCCCAGAGTTAGAACCAGGGCAATAAGAGCAACAACACAATGGTTACTGTGTCGTTCAGAACAAACATTTTGATGCACAACATGCAGGAAAAACAGTTCTTTACTATCCAGTCTTCAAACAGAAGATGTCAGTTCAATCATACTCTATAAATAAAAWCACAAACGTCTGCTTGTTACTGACAAATAAATAAAATCATGCAAAAAAAAAAACAGCTCAATCAAACACATAAACGTTCACATATAGGGTCAATGAACAAATCGTTAAGATATGTCTGTGACAGCTAATTTCACAGATTTTAATGTGTTTGGACTAATATTCTGGGTTTAAAAACGCACCTGAACATCTGAAGTGCCTTCAGTCATTGAAGCTAAAATTAGGCAAAATGCAGAWTTTTTTTCTTCTAAATTTTGCCTCTTAGATCCTCTTCAGTTTGCTTATCAGGCAGGGAGGAGTGTGGAGGATGCAATTCTGTTTCTTATAAACCTTTTAKTGAAGCATTTGGAAGTTCCTAAAACACACACTAGGTTGATGTTTGTTGACTTTTCCTCTGCATTTAATACTATTCAGCCCCACCTTCTCACAGAGAAACCTTTATCTTAGTTTAATCTGAATCCAAATCTTGTGTGCTGGCTGTGTGCTGTCATGTAAGTCTTATAGTAACTTATAGTAATAAATTTTGGTGGGCCGAGCTTCGGTCACTCGGGGGCCAGATRTGGCCCTCAGGCCGCCAGTTGAATAGCCCTGTACTAAATTGTTGTTTTTGTTGTTCTTTCTTTATATAAACCAGTGAGCACAGCTAGATTTGCTAACTCATAATCCACTCACTAAAAACATAGCTTTCAAGTGAAAAAGCTAAACATGCAATAAAACAAATTAGCAGAAGCTAACACTRCAGCTAATCGCTAACCGCTATGATGACTGTCTCAGTCTGTGTCAAACGTCTTGTCTCCTTCCAGCTTAAGACAGGTGGGGCTGACACAAACCTGCCAATGTTAGCTTGTTAGTTAGCTGTTAGCACACTTAAAATTGGTAAAACCTCCTTTAGCAGAAGCTGTTGGTTCGCTGATGTTTTTCAAAATTTGCGAAAAAGCTAATCCACTAAACCCAAAACGAGTTGTGCTGTTAGCTGATGAGCAGAATCATGCCCACCACTGATAAATATAAATTTAGTTTGTCATTTCTAATGTCTTAAATTATCTCGCTGCTCATCCTGATACATGAGCAGTTCCAGACACATGGCTTGATTTGTCTTCCTAATCAGAACTCACTGATATTTGGTCTGAATCCTGTTTTTAGATTTTTCTAATGAGGAATTTTTCAGGTCATTTTAAAGAGGAAATCTTAAACAATATCTGGATGACAAGATTTACCAGCTGGAAAACAAAAAGCAACATGATTCCATCAATCAGTGCCAGTGTTTTTAATAAAACATGCCTGGTTAAATAACGGTAAATAAATAAATTAAATAAATAATAATGTTACTTTTATTCACACAGTTCCCACTGTTAACGATTATTTTGTTATGGTTTTGTTGTGACCCATTTATGATGTGTGCTGTTTCTTTGTGCCCAGGTTGAAAATGAGATCTTGATCTCAATGGAGTTTTAATCTGGTTAAATAAAGGAAATGAAATCAAGAGCTCAGAAAATGAACATAATTATGAAAACAACCAAATATCACAGTCTGTTACAAATATTTTACACACGTAGAAGTGAGCTATGATCTGTTATTGTTAAGGCTTGGAGAAAATGTGCCTTTGTTTTGCWTTATACGACCGAAAATTTCCCAGGGACACAACTAAACTGATTAGAAAAGCTGATTTAATAAAAATTATGTTAAGGTAAAACAGCAGGTCGTTAGAAATCTGCAGTGGTGGGCAGAGTTCCCCTAAAGCACTAAAAGGGGAACTAATTTCCTGATTAGTGCTTTAGGACTTTTGCTATTTTTTAATTTATTAGTGGATTAGCACTTGCTAAATTTTGAAGCACTAACTGAGGTCTTTAAATGTTATTGATCTACATTATTGTTCACAGTTGAGGGTGAAAGCTGTCACACATGCTGTTCATATGTGTGTCTCTTTTCTACAAGGTCACATGTCAAACTTAAGGCCCGCGGGACAAATGTGGCCTACGGGTGACTCCCATTTGGCCCACCAATGGCACTAAGTGACAACATTCTGCACAMAGTATATATTGTCTCATGTTGACTCTGAAGAATGTTTCACATGTCAACTGGATTATTTTAGTGCTTTAGAATTAGGGGACCTAAATATTTAAGTTAGTGCTTTAGGGTTAGTGCAACTAAYATTTAGATTAGTGCTGCCCACCACCTGAAATCTGCCTCTTTGTGTTTTCATGATTGCTCAAAGCTTCATCCACACACCTCAGTCATCCCGTGGACAGCTCTGGACATGAAGGGATTAAAATAAAGACGGAGACAACAATAATAACCAATGATGGGATGAGATGTGGGAGGAGGGGAAACCAAGCCACTGCATTCCTGCACCCACCTGCACAGGGGCAGCGAGGTTTATTAGAGTGGGTTCTACCATGTAGGACTCGGCGTGAATCTTGCTCAGGCGCTCTTTCAGCTCAGAGTTCTGGGCTAAAGCCTGGGAAAAATAACCCTATGTGAACAAAGCTGCTTGAAAACATCCAATAACAACACGGCGTCCATTTTTAATCTGTAGGTGTGTTCGTTTCCAACTGTCTCCATGTAAAGGCGTTGGTGTCGGGAGTATCAATAATCTATTTCTGGAAAGAAAAAAGCAGYTTAATCTGTCATATTGAGGAAAATGGTAGCTCTTTACACCGACACACCACTGGCTGCGTGACAATGAACCAAAGACAGAAAAAAAAAACCTCTGGGTGGGAGGCAGCAGCCAGAGGAAAGGTGGTTCTGTTCTGGTGRGCTGACATCACACCAGCAGTCTGTACAGTAATCCCACTAAAAGGCTCATCAATGTGTCACTCCTGATGAGAGGTGTGGGAGGACACACAAGGTGGAATATACCTGACCCACTTCCCCTGCTGACTGAAAGCTTGTCTTTGCTCAGTGTGTGTGTGTGTGTGTGTGTGTGTGTGTGTGTGTGTGTGTGTGTGTGTG